TTAATTATTCATTGAATATTTTTTATTATATCATATCATCCATTATATTTATTTTCTTATTTTGCTGAGTGTCTTCATCTGATCAGAAGATGTATACCGAATATTTTCCATTTGCTATATAATATAGCCTATCTCAATCATTTTTTTGTTGGTGAATGACCTAAAAACAAGGAATTTGCCGTTGCAGAAAAGCTAGGGGAGATCGAAGAAAATTAAAACAAAAGAAAACTTGGTGGCACAGAACAAAGAATGGAAAAAAATGATAACCACTGTAACGATAGTATATATAGTACTAGCTAGTACCATGTACTATATAATGATGAGAAAACATGAAGAAACTAACACAAGTATCCGACAATCTTCTAGTTGAGTCACACGTCAGTAACCACTAATGAGAGGCTGGGGTAAGATTGTGCGTAAGTACGACACAAATTTGGTTGGTTATCAATCTTATACATTTTCTGAGGCCTTAAACTAAGATAAAGTGCTGTTTCAATTGAAGCAACCACCCCACTCATGCCGTAGCCCGTAGTGGTGAGTGGTGAGTGGTGAGTGGTGACGTGGAATGGTGTTGTACTTTTACCCAATATCATGTCACACTACCAGTAGTTCTTCTACGTTCCAACTTCAAAATGCAGCATGCACTTGCACCATGGATACTATTAAAGTGCGTATGCATCAGCAAAAGGCACGGCTCAATTATGTGCTCCGCCTAATAGTTTCTCTAATGTCCACACTGATTTGCTGTTTGTATTATTTTAATTTGCTTTTATATATAACTTTTTCATTTAGAAAGGAGATTTATGAATAAAGGGTAAAAAAAAGTAACCAATACCACTGACGAGAAATATCAACCGAATTCAAATTTTATAAGTTATTCATCCTATAAGCTTAAATATATTTTTAGATATCTTAAATATTTTTCTTTTGTAATTTCAATCTTTAATTTATTAAATTCGACATTTTTAAAATAATAACGTGACTACTAACTATAAAATAATCATGATTTTAAAAATCAAAAGCACATGTATAATACACGAATAACATCTTGGTTTTCAAGCTAAAATATGAATAAAAATTTACTGACTTGGCGCTAATAATTTAAAGTTTAAACAGTAATTAAAACAGATGGAATATTTTGAAAAATTATACATGATTACAACATGTTAGCTTATATCAAACGCCAAAATTCAGATTTAATTAATCGAAAACAAACATTTTATAAACAAAAATATAATAATTTATTTATTATTAATTTAAATTAGAAAAATTATAAAAATATATTATCTTAAATCCCTGGAGCCCACCTTTCATTTTTAAGCCACTAGGTGGCAGGGTGTCCGTGCAAATGGGCGTCGCTTTATCACTTATCCTTCATCGGGATTCCGTTTTAGTCCATTTCTCATATTAACACACCGCCCATAGCCCCACCTCTTGTTGGATTTCAAATCAATTTTGAAACATAATCTCTAGCCATGGATTACATTTGAAAGATATAAGAATTTATAGACACATCATCTTCGATTCTCCAATAATGTAAGGTAGTGATTGCAAATTCTTTATTATTAATTTTAGTATCAAATCGTAAATTTGTGAATACCGTCATTGTTACTTATGCATAGTTAATTTAACTTTATTTTTTAAAATTAATTCTTTATTTTTGTTACTTTTTTAAGACACATTTTAAAGATTATTATTTTCCCAATGTTAAACCAAACATATTGTAAGTCATCATCATATAGAAAATTTTACAAAAAAAAATCGTATGTATGTATCAATATGTAGGCCCACCGTTGTTCCATTCGATTCCAACATCTTATATGATTATGAAGAAGAAAAAGAAAATAGTTTCTTCATCTGCATTTTTACTGAAAACTAGGCTCTCTGTAACTTCTTCTTTTTCTTATTGTGTGGGTGAAAAAAGTAGAAGCTTTAGATTGCTCTACTTGCGTGCTTCGAGTGATGGTCGTGAAAATGGGCATACAGAGTACCTTGGAAAAAGGTGGTAATTAGCACATTAAATGTAACTAAATCAGGTCTAACACTCTTCAACTTGAAATCCTACTCCACATTCAAACATCTCCGAGAAATTTCATCAAACACCAACCACAAATTCCTAACATCACCACCTTTATAGAAGTAGAGTCGATTCCTTTTCGAGAAATAGCAAAAAGAGGAGTGTGCTTGTGGAAGCAAATGATGGGAACAGAGGAAATGAACCATAGTATAGTAGGAATGAAGAGTTTAGCGAAAGGTAGGATAAGAAGCGAGTCAGTTAAAGAAGGAGAGGAGAGAGAGAGGGGTTGATGTTGATGAGGTTGGTGACGTGAAGGGGTGTGAGAGAAGGGAGAATGCATCAGCGAGTGGGGTTGCGAGACTAAACTTTGAGATGTTTGGTTTCAGAATTGTTGATGGCTTCTGCACAGAGAAGGTCCTGGTCTTTGAAGGGATAAGGTAACCGAGGGGAACGAGGGTGAGTAGAGAAGAAGCGGAAGAGAGCAAACGCTGACCTACCTTCATTTTTAACACTCAAATTCATCTTCAGCATAGCAATACGTAGATCACACAAATAAGAAGGATTTTTTATAAATATTAATTTTTACGTAATAAAATATAACAAATAATACAATGTGTAATGATAAATTAAATTTTTGTTATCTAATTCATCACTTAAAAAACTATAGTTAACGTTAAGGATTAAAAATTTATCACAAATACTATTTTTATAGAAATAAAAGCGCAATTAAACTTTTAGTGTACATATCGAAAAGTAATAAAAGATTCTTAAGTTATCAAAATATCGTCTCACAAGAATTGTTTTTCAATTACTAAGAATTTTCTAATTTAATTGTTTGAGCTTCAAATATATAAGATTAATCAAAACAAGAATTTATAAAATTAATTATAAAACTAAGAATAAGGAATACAATGCATGTCTTGGTTAAACTTACCAGAGAAGAACCTAGGGCGCATGGGATTTCTCATTCAATTCTTTATGTTATTTTTCTATTTAACTCTAAATTTAATTTCCTTGTGATTACCAATCATTCATACAAATACTATTAATACCCAATGGTCATGCAATATTAATATTCTTTTTTTTAAATTAACATCTCTAATGGTCATGCAAGACATCAATTAAAGAAAGCTTAAGGAGCCTATGAACTTGTTAATTTAATAACGATTAGAAGAGAAAGATTGGTTTGGTCTACCTAATCCTTTGTCTCGTTTTACCCTATAGATCTATTAATTAATTGAAGTACAGTCGCCTGACGATAAAAGTTAATCACATAGCGAAAATCAAATTCAGATTCAAACATCAAAATTTCATAAATTCATAAACAATAGTTCTCATAGCTCTAGTTATGGACTTAGTTACTCATACTAAAGAAAAGAACTAAAACAATCATGAACAAAGTCATAAAGAAAAGAAATAGAAAACTAGAGTGTGAGATGTGTTCCGGGTCTTCAAGTACGATCGCTCGAAACTCCAAGTCCCGTTAAGAGTGTGCTAAAGATCCCGTGCAAGAAAGACGAGATGAGATTTATCCCAGAGCCAAAGACTAGATAAAAAGGGTATGTCAAGATGTCTTCAATGGTGCATCAGGTCTCCTTTAATAGGGTTTGAAAATCCTAAAAACTCTTCATTATTAAGCTTTCCGCAGATGAGCACGGTCGTGTAAGGCCTTAAGCACGACCATGCATAGGCTCGAAGCACCCCGTGCTTGTTTAAAGGGGCTGGGCGTGCTGATTGCTACGAAACTCTAATTTTCTATCAATTTGAGCCCAAAATACACTCAAAATATACTTGCGGCCTCTTTATACAAAATTACACAATTAATATATGAATTAGTGTAAAACTAAAATAAAATAAAGATCAAATATGAATATATGGGCTGTAAAAGAATGCCTAAATACAGACTTATCAATATATATATATATATATATATATATATATATATATATAAATAACAGTGATAGAATGTATTAAGATTTTTAATGCATACTCAATGTAGTTTTAATTTAAAAAAATACTCATTCATTATTTAATGGGTTAATTTAGGCTACTTGTCAATAAAAACCCAAATTTTACTAGCACCTTTTTTAAAATAAATCTCAAGCTTATGAGTTATGAGGCACGTATATTTTTTCCCCATTACCTTTTTTATGGCAGTTGTTCCCTTGTAGTTGTTGATAATTATGTGTTAATGAGCATTGTTGTTCATTACTTTCTTCATTCTTTTTTATGTTTTAGAAAAAAATATTTGTCATTTTAAAATTTTAAAAATTTATTTATTATATTTTTACTATACCCTTACCTCTTACAAAGTTATTAATTATTTTATAAATTTATAATAAAATGAATAATTAGTAATTATAAAACATAAAATTTAATGAGATCAAATATTTTTTTCATAACTTACTTGCAGATTAATCTATAAAATATATTTTATTTTAAATATTGAAAGTTAATGAGTGAGATTGATTAATAAATAAAAAAATTAATTACAGAAAAAAGGTAGAATTGAAAATTAGATAATAAATTTTATACAAACTAAAATAATAATTAATTTTTTAACTGTGTAAAATAATTTCAAGTGACAGATTAGAAAAACAGAGGAGTTATTTATGAAACAAAAATCAAGTGAACATTGAAGGGCTTTATTCATACGATAAATAACATTAAAAAGAAATATAAAATTAATCAAAAGCTAAAGGAATTTGTTTTTGTTAAAAGAAGGCAAATAATTGTTCGAAAACAATAATTCTGAAGCACGGCATTGTTAATTTTTCTAATAATGAATAGAATGATAGGAACTTGGGAAGTAAGTCTTACAAAAAAATATAAAAAAGAAAAATGTGGTGAGGGAAGGGCTACAAGAAAACGACTATGATATTTATATATATTGGCAGTTGGCTAACCAAAATATGATATAAAACAAATGTCGTTTTGTGGTTGTGAAGAGGCACATGCAATGATGCAATGGCCACAGCCTCGCAGGGACCTCATTACAGAACACTCATAGCTTCACGCACCGTGTAAGTTGCTCGTTTCGCTTTCATTGTTTTTTTCAGAACAAATTCTAACTTCTAAGCATTTTAATAATAATATCCTAACTCCATAAACAACACACACAACACTACCTTAACCTCTCCAATTTCACACTTGTTTCATTTCTCTCACACATACACAACACAACTGTTATCCTTTGAGAATTATCACCAAGCACAACAGTTCTCAGGCCTCAATTATCAAAAAATTCCTTTTTTTGACCGTAGATGTCCCCTCTATACGTGTGGGGCAGTGTCTGCGTTACAATTACGAGGTGGTTTCTTTTGGGTTAGGTTAGTTCGCCTTTGACCCTTGAAACAATGGTTCATGTCTCTGCTGTTTAAGTTCTGCAGGGATTATTGAATTGAATTCCTAGCATATAGTATATATTCTTATTTGATCGATGCAACATGAGTATGGGATTACAAGCTCCAGATATCATATAGTATGAATAAATTTTCAAAAGAATTTATTCGTGGACTGCAAGTTTAGCTTAGCTGGAATATTTTATCTATCTGAATTCTGATTGATTGGTCAGTTTTGTTCCACTGTGTAGGTCTATTTTGAGAGACACAAATACATGGAGCTTTGAAGAGCTGTGGCGTAGGTGCATACAACAACTCTGGCCAACTCTTTAGCCATATCTTCACCAACAGTAGAAGGTGTTGATCCTTGCTTCTCTGGCTTGCGGTTTTGTTTGGACAGCCTCTTTTCTCTTGTTCTGCTCCTTCCCATCGATTATGGCTAACTTCTGAGTTCACTCTTGTCCAATGTGATTTTCCCTACTCTCAAACAATCTCTTTTATTGATATACTATCACTTAGTCAAGATGTGAGTGCCTATAGGATTGTGTATACAACTAGTGCAAAGGTTGAAAGCGCGAAGAAGATTGAATAAAAAGGATTCACAAGAACAAGATTTATCTTCTGCCATGGCCATGTGTAGGTGTTTCTCTATTTTGGTTGGAAGGAAGGAGAAAAACAAGGTAAAAAATATGTGCGGATCCTGTGTCTTGTTTTGTTTTTCTGAGGCTGGTGTGAACCATATGATTAACCTGATTTGGTCTCTTCTTGCTTGCTTCTTCAGGGTACTGAACGATCTTCAACAGTGGGCCTTAAAACTCGACTTGATCAACCACAGCATCCAAAGGTTTCATCAGATAGTCGTGATTTGAACCCAGGCACCCTTGATATTAAAGTGCCCTGTGGTGTACAGAAGAATTCAAGGTTCAATGCGAGGGTTATGAGTCATGAGAGTCCTGTGAAGGCTGAAGTAGAGGAAGCTTATGAAGGGGAAGATGAGCATGAAGAGTCACCCTCCATCAAGAGGGAGCTCTCTGACCTTGATCTCCAAGCCCACGAAGCTGCTGCAAGCAAAGGAGGATATGATCCAACAGATAAAGAGATAAAATACCCCACTTTATATGAAAACAAGGCCAACATTCAATTGGAAGAGAAAGACAACAAACACAGCAAAGAATGTGTTGATATAATCCAAAGTGGACATGTCAGTGATCCTGGTATTGGCAAGGCTGATTTTTGGGCTTCTCCAAAGCTCAAGCGATCATGCTCTAACCTGGAAAGAAGGGATTTACTCAGGAAGACTTCTCATTACTTTCCATCTTCCAAGTCACAGTCCTTTGAGGATTTGCAGGAATTATCTGCATATCAGATGGTTAACCTAGAAAGCCCCAGGTCTGTGATGACTCACTTCAGTGCTGATAGAGTGATGCTGAGAAGGTATTCATCAAGTCAAGTTCTCCCTTCTGGTAGTAAAAGATTGTGGTGGAAGTTGTTCCTCTGGAGCCACAGGAATATACATAGATCTCGGTTAAGCAAATCAACACAAATATATCCTGCAATTGCTGCTGTAAATAGTCAATGCGGGTACTCTTCAGACACCCTTGAACCAAAACAAGGCAAGGCATTGAAACATGTGGAATCACCCTCACCTGGGTCATCTTTTGGGGAATACTTTCACAAAAGCTGTGATGACAAAAACACAGATAAGAGCAGATTTCAGAAAGAAAATTTTGGTTTTTGGCCACAAAACCAATGGGTAGCTTTCTCAACGGAATCATCCTTTAGCAGAGTGGATGAGTGGGTGAAAGATCTCGAAATTCTGCAGCCACCGCCCGAGGATGATTTTGGTGATGACAATGTTGGAAGCATTGCCTTCCCACCTTCTCCTGTTGCTAATAGATCAATGACTAGAAGCACAGCTCAATTAGTTCGACACCCTGATGCCAATCTTTCAAAGGACATATTGAATGCCAATAGTGTGGTGCAGTCTCTGAACCCAGCCTCAACTGCAGCTCATATATCGGGTATTGGTGTAAAAGCCATCCCTGCTCTTCAACACTTCAACAGTCTCCGCTCTGTGAATTTGTCAAGCAATCTCATAGGTATAATTTTGTTTGAGAGAAGAAAGTTAACCTTAATATAAATTCACTTCATTGATTGGCTAACTAAATTGATTAACGATTGGTTGTTCTCTTTATTGATTTGATAGTTTACATCACACCTGGTTTGCTCCCAAAGGGTATTCATACACTGAATTTGTCAAGAAACAAAATCAGCACCATTGAGGGCCTTAGAGAATTAACCCGCTTGCGTGTACTTGACTTGAGTTATAATCGCATTTCAAGAATTGGACAAGGTTAGTCTCTATACTGGCAGATGCTAAATGGAGGTTTTTACTTCTCAAATTTCTAATCCTTTGTGAAGTATTTTCTACAATGCAATTAACCACTGTGTTTTAATCAGGGTTATCAAATTGTACCTTAATCAAAGAGCTATATCTTGCGGGAAACAAGATAAGTGATGTGGAGGGGCTACACAGGTTATTGAAGCTAGCAGTTCTGGACTTAAGCTTCAACAAGATCACAACAACAAAAGCGTTAGGCCAGCTAGTGGCCAACTACAACTCACTTCAGGCCCTGAATCTTCTTGGAAATGCAATTCAAAGCAACATCAGTGATGACCAGCTACGCAAAGCAGCTTGTGGTCTGCTTCCAAAGCTTGTGTACCTGAACAAGCAATCCATCAAGCCTCAAAGAGCACGAGAAATACTCACTGATAGTGTTGCTAAGGCTGCACTTGGGAACAGTGGGCGGAGCTCCTTCAAAAGAGCACCGAAAAAAGGTGGCCAAGGAGGGTCAAGTTCCTCCAGTGTACATAGAAGCAGTGCTAGTGTTGCCCAGAAAAGTAGTAACAGGTCAAGGAGCCGAACTAAACATCATTAGTTGCCTGTAAAAGGACCAATTCATTATCAGTCTTCATGGTTAAGACTTGTGAGAAAGGAGGAGGATTTTTCAAATTTACTTTTACACAATGTTTGCTTCAACCTATAACCCACCCTGTGTGGGATCAAAAGGCTTGGTTATGATTATTGTTGTTGTGTTTGCTACAATCTGTTGTCATGGATGTTTGATTTATACCATAAAGGAGACTACTCTAGTCATTGACAGTCTCTTGGTTTAAGACTTGATGTAATGCAGTCTTCATAATCTCCAATTTTAATGTGTGGAACTTGATGTCATCATCTGGCTTTCGCAAATGTTAAAACAATTTTGGTTGTGCAAAACGACGATTGGCCACTGTTGTTACTATCATTATCATCCAAATATTGTGTGAATAATGAATACCATGGCATCGTCAAATTGTACATGTAAACGTGAATGGTGAATAAAAGTACAGGTTACGGAAATTTTCCACCAAAATACTCTGCACCATCAAATTAACACGAAATCGGATTTAATTTCTCGAAACTCATAGTATCTTCTTTTTTCAAAAAAACACTGTTTGCCCTTCAAAAAGATCTTATTTTAATGGCACCATTAAAACTTGAAAGTGAATTTTCGTGGTTGATGATAAACGTAATGCAATGCTTCTCTAGTGGCCAAAATCTTCAAACTCGGTACGAAAAAAATGAACTACCAAGCAGGCAAACGCACACAAAATGACTCCTAATATAAAAGGTATACTGTAGAAGGAAAAGTACGAACGTATTACCATTGGTGGAAAGATACTGTTTGCGCAATTAATTGAACAGTAAACCCGGATGAAGATGATACTTAAACAGGCTAATAACGGCCTCTAAAAAAGGGAGGGAACCGGGTGGTAGTGATAGACTATTTAATAAAAGTTCCCATACAAAGCACAGGTTTACAAATCTTGAATATATGCCTATACAGCAGTAAAAGAAGATGTGTTCCAAGCAGTTCTTTTTGACGGATATTTGTTGACCAGTAGCATGCTTAAGATTACCAAATCAATTTCAAAATTGGGTTACTTTTCATTGATACACAAGTACTCATCCATCCAATTATTCATTTTCAATAGTTTGTATATTTCATTCAAAACCTGTGCTTTGCTTAAAATATTTTTGCTTACTTCAATTGGAACATTACGAAAATGAATAATTGATTAAATTTTAAAATTCAGATATCTCTGAGATATCCATACAATGCAGCACATATAAGTAAGTTTATAAGCATGAAATAAACTCAATAGAATGTTATTCATCAAAAGTAAAAAGGAAGCGGGTATTAATCATCTATTTATATCCTTGCGCAACAAGCTAGGATGCAGATATAAAATTATTTGACTAAGCAGAACTACAGAAGATAGAGTAGCTGGTGATAGAAAATATATAAAAAAAATTATATTTATTTTATTAACTTGAGAACCATTTGGTAATGACAATAATTGTAAAAAAGCATACAACAAAACCTTGATATGTGAAAGCATTTCATCGAATATTAAAGATAGAAAGGTAAAGTTGACAATCCTAAAATCCTTGCCACCAATTCAATGATCTAGTACACCCTGCTCAGTCGCTACTAGGACATTAAGCTCAAATTTCTCGCCATCCTCTTTGCTCTTTCCTCGGAATCAAAGAGATCTATCAAGCCGATACAATAGACCCACAATAGTGGGGTACCAATTCAAGAGTAGTGATGGTGTGGGGTTTTTCACCTCAGGGGTGATCACAAGCACAGATTAAATGATCATAAGGTACACATTCTTGATCGCGTAATCACACAGCCATCCAACTCCTCTCTTAAGAGTAACCTTAAATTGAAGAGCTCCATTTGGTCTTTCTTTTCTTAGAACACATTAAAATTATTCAGAAAGTTAAGTTAAATGTTGTTCTTCCATTTCAACATCAGAACCAGGTTGCATTTCATTCATCTGAGCATACTTATAAAGCTTCTCATTAAAGAGCACCTGAGGGTCCTTCTCAACCAAAAACCCATTACCATCATACCCATCCCTCAAAAACACAGCCCAGTTCATCTCAGTCCCAGCCAAATAAAACGCTCTAGGCTGCTTCAGCAGCATATGATAAGTATGCTTAGTCAAACTAAACTCTTCCTTAAACTCCACAAGGTGATGAATAGAGGCTCTCTTCTCCAACGTCAAGCTCAAGAACTCATGAATCACCCCAACCCTGTACTTCTCCGCCTCCAAACTCCACACGTCCAATTTAGACCCATCCGAATAAGGAGACACCAAAGGAAGCGTGTTCAACAAATTAAGCTTCCTCGAATCATCCAACCCTATATCCAAATCCTTCCCATATTTCACAGGAAACCTAAACTTCCTCTTAGCAGCGTTTTCATCAACCATAAACTCCCTCTCAAGCGCACTCACTGCCAAATGAGGGTCCCAATTAACCAACTCAAGAACCCTCTTCCCATCGTTCTCATCCACAATCCTAAAAAATTCGGGATACTTCAAAACCCTATCTCTGAAATTATCGGGGATGCCGAACAGGGTCCTGCAATGGTGGATCTTGCTGAGGGAAATGCGGTTACGCGCGGACATCATGAGGAGTTTTCGAACCTTGTCGACGCGATTGAGTTCCATGGAATCCATGAGGGATTGTTCCTCTGCGACGAGGTGTTCCATAAGGTCGGTGAAGCCGAGCCACATTTTGGAGTCGCTGTGGCGGTAGGTTTGGAAGAGGAGGGGGTGTTGTTGGAGGAAGCGCGAGAGCTTGCGGCCGCGGGGGAAGCCGAGCTCGCGGTGGAGCTTGCCGGCGTCGTCGAGGCGGAGGACGTGCTCCGGTTGGGCGGAGAGGAATTGTTTTGAGCGCGTAACGAATCGGAAGAGAGCGTCGCGCTCAACTATGCGTTCGAGTTCGGGAATGCAATTGGGTTGGGTTTGGATGGGGTTGGTTCGCGGGCTGTTTTTGGGTTTGCGTTTTTTCTTGTATTTTTTGGGGGTTTTGGTGATGAGGAAGGAGGTGGAAAAGGGGGCGCCATTAGGGTTCCCAATTGTTAGGGTTTTAGAGGATTTGATGTTTGAGAAGAAGAAGAAGCGCCAAGCCATGAATCTGAATGAACATTGATCAATCAAGTAACGTGATTAATGCTTAAACAGCGTAAAGATGAAACAAAAATATTTATATTGAAAAATGAAAAAATGATTTCCGACCTGCCGGATTCGAACCAGCGACCTAAGGATAGCTGTTAGGCGATGTTTCCCACTACAGTCCTCCGCTCTACCAACTGAGCTAAGGTCGGTTTTGTTCACTGAGCTAATCAACATATTTTAACGCGATTCTGGTAACCTGAGCAACTACATCATATTTGATGTAATTCGTAGACTCTTCTTAAGACAAGTTTGGAAATAGGTCGCAGAAAGGGTAGGACGCAGGACAAGTTCAACTAGGGATTTATTACTCTTTTTTTGTTTAAGAATACTAGTTTTTTTAATATATACCATATAGCTCATGGAGGTTTTATTCATGTAAATGTTCACGTATTGAAAACAATGATGAGTTTACAATTTCTTTTATTAATTTTAAAATTTCCTTTAATCATTAAAAAAAGCTCATCACCAAACAAACACTTGTTTTGAATCTACTTTTTTTTATATATAAAAATTATGTATATGCCAATTAAAGTTTTTTTCTTTTTTGTATAGTGAACGTAATTTAGTCCGATCAAACTTCAAGGTTGGAAAATACTCTAAAAACTTCAATATTATTTTTCTTAAATAATTTTCATTGCTTAAAATTTTAAAATTAAAGTCAAATTTTATTTTTAATATTCTTTTTAAATTTTTTTCAACAAGTGCACATGGTATGCTTGTAAATAAATTGACACATCTAAACCATGGTAAAAGGAAGAACAAAAACAAGGTCCTTACATAATTGGTAGATACATGGAGTCCTTGGAGTATATTAACTAATATTCAACTTTTGTGTTTATCATCATTTTTCTCTTATCTCTTCTTGAAAAAAGGAGAGCATGCCCGTTCATTGGGTGTGAAAACGTTATTATTCTTTCCAATTATATTGGGTAATCCCAACACAAGCAACCAATTGAATTGCCACACCACTGCAGTATGCTTGTTTAAACCATAAGTTGTGTAAAATTTACTCACAGAAAATGGAGAATGTGATTTTGATTTCATTTTATAAACATTGACAACATTATCAAAATATAGTTTTGCCGCGCCATTACAGGAGACATTAAAAAAAACTAAAAAAATGATTATGTAAGAACAGGGGGAACTAAACGCTGAGCATTTTATACACCACAGCAAACATAAATGTAACTTATTCTATCATAATCATCCCAATCTTAATCATGTGTCTGTATAACCGTAATCAGACATCACATGAAAAATCAAATCTACCAGTATACTTCTTCATCTGCTCTGTTCCTTGTTTGATAATTACAAGGCCCTATGTGTATACCTTACGGCTACATAGGAGTTGTGGTGGTATCATTCACGAGGGTTAACTTTGTTGTTTTTTTTTCCGGCTTTCTTTCTGTCCAAAATTTTCATTCCCCACTTTCTATGGCGGAGCATTATGACAATAAAATGAACATAATGAAAATGAATATATGAATATTATGGTCTAATTTCTTCTGGACTTGAATGAATTAATTTGCCAATCTCTTAAAGAAAGGTTTCTGGCAGACCAGGAGTCTCTGATCGCTGTCACTTGCAATTTCTACGACTCGCGCATCCCACTTTAGCCTTGTTGTTAGAGCCCTAGCTGACTCTATCAAAGGAACTGTGTCACGAATTATAACCCAACCCTGCACACATGGCCAATGTCAGCAATTCAAAAGATCTATAATATATCAATTCTCTAAGGCTTTGCTTGGGAGTTTTGGAGGAGAGGGAGCGAAAGGGTTTAAAGGATAAGAGAGGAGAGGAGAAGGGAGGAAGAAGGAGAAACTTCTAAGTTCCTATTATAATTCTATTATATCTTCAAATCCAGGCCTTTATACTTTGATTCAATGAAGAAACAGAATATATTGCACAACTGCACCTCAATATAGCTCCACCAGAGTAAAATCTAGAGGACTCCTTCCTTTATGGGATAGAGGCAAGGGTTTCACCTTATTAAGAGTTTGATTAAGGTTTTGAAAATCAACTATGAGAGTTGAATAAAAAGACTTCATTTATGCTCATAGGTTTATATATTTATACCCCGTAGGAATGAAGTCAATAAGAAAATAAATAAATAAGAGGAAAAGTACCAAAGATGAAAAGTAAAGCCTGCAGTATTTTATATACCTCTGGGCGAAGTAACCTGTCAATCTCAATGAACATGTCAAGCATTGAGCATCTGCGCTGCTGAGCAGCTTCAAGGGATAGAAGTCCTGCTGCATGCACCAAATCATAGGTTCTAGGGTATGTTGGAAAGGCCTCACACCTAGAAAGCGCATAAAATCATATAGTAAGAAACAATAATTTGTGTAAGTAGCAACAATCGGTCAAAAGGGCATAATTTTAGGTTGCTAAACAATTAACAACAGTAACCTTTCCACATGGAAGAAAAGTAAAGAATATTTAATTTAAGCTGCAAAACTTTGGTGTGTGATCAAGTTCAGAGATATAAAACCATTCATATGCCTCCATTTAATAGTTTTATGTTTTAAGATGAGTTTATCCTAGACAGCTTCCATGACTAATTGATCATAAATGCGATACTCGTATCTCCTACTCATAATTTTAAATTTCATCATTAAGTAGAGCAAGTTTGTGCATTGTCTGTGGGTAAGCCCGATAGTTCTTGCATTAAGGACAAGATAGGGTTGAATTGGTTCTTGACAGATATAAGCTTCATTATCCATTACTTTTTTAAAATTTATTACTATATTTTTAAATAAACATCGGACATTTGAACTATTTTGTCAAACAACACTAAAATGCATTAATATTCAAACCCTAGTGCAAATGTTATATCCTCCGCCAGCGAACTAAGTACACAACCTGGATCAAGATATTAATGCTTAAACTTTACACAAGAATAATAAGGAAATCAATAATTCTATATATTTGAAAGGCATCAAAACATTAAAAAAAAATTAGAAATAGTAAGGAAGAAAGAATTTAGCAGACGGGTGAAAATTTACATTTAGCCAAGAAAAAAAGAAAGCAAAAAAAGAATCATGAAATTCTAAAATAAGAGAAAGGAGATTAAAATACCAATCATGTAAGACGCCAACATAACCTCTGTCATGGATCAAGGGTAGATAGTTGTGTCCACTTATAGGGACCACATTCATTACCCAGACAGATTTTCCAGCTTGCAACAATGCAGAATTGAAACCACCCAAATGAGCATTCATGTCTAGCACATTTCTTAGCATGTTGTAAGGTGGTGGAGGGTCTTCATCACCAGGTCTCTTTGGATGATCAGAAAATATTAAAGGGGACAGAAGAGACCAATAATTACGGACAGCTGCTCTCCAGCTTTCAGAGTCCTCAGTGAATTCATCAGATTGCAACCCTGACGCAATTAAATATAAACATATTAACATAACTTAATGGATAGGAGATTTCATTCAATGATAGTAGAGTGAAATTCTTCTATTAAGAGATCTATAAGAAAATTGTTGAAGAATGTTACAATTACCATAGATTGCAAGCTCCTTCTTGCTCAAGTGATCTCTGGAAGGCCAGGTTTCCCTCTCTTCAATTGAAATCCAACGCCTGCTATGTGTACCTCCTATGCAGTTTTGCAGTTCTCGATAATATGGAGACTCCACATCGTAGCCTCTGCCACATAACGGAGGGGGAGAACTATTCTTTCTGTAAAAACAAGCAGACAGGTAATGCTAAGAATCGGGGATACTTGTAAAATTTTATGCAGTAAACAAATGCATATACATAACAGGATCCTAGTTACTAGAAATCTACATCCAAGGATATACAAAGTGAAATACAATATGTACGTGCCACAGCAGCATTACCTTGAACTATAACAATTTCTTTTACCAGTTTTCTTCCATACAACAGTTTCATCTTGCTGTGACAGCATATCCCAGCAAAGGTTTTCAGTAAAATCGTGTATGAACTTCCACCTTTTCTGACTTCCTTTGTCACGAGCATTTGTAAGCGGTGAAGTCCAGACAAAGTAGCCACCCGGCTTTAAAAGTCTATCAGCTTCAATCAAGAGAATGCCATCTATACCATGTAATATGTATGTTAATAAGATCAAGCAGACTCCAGATATTCAGTGAATTCACTTAAGCTCAGAACTAAATTTTCAGAATCTTTGGTTCAAACTTTTGAAAGGGGATAAAAATATGAAATAAAAGCAGCTTGACACATGAAATTCATACAGACATATGAGGAGACTTCTGCAAGTTAACCCCAGTTTGTTGGATATGCAATGACTATGGGAAAATAAATGTAGAAGGTATAGTAAGCTTGCAGCTAGAGGATGGATGTAATATGTTGTATTGACTCTAATGAATTTGAGCGAACTGGAAATCCTATTGCTATCAATGATGAACAATTTTCTTGATTTTTTTACAGAAAAAAAAGATCTAACAATGTACAATGTTAAGCTTGACTTTGGATACTACAATTAATTAGCTACTTTAATTAGTATGGCTTCAAAGTTCAGACAAACCTTTAAATTTTGGAAACTTCCTTAACAAAGAATTGAATTAGACGTTTTTCCCCCCAAAGTGTACACCATTGTTTTTTCTTAATTCTGGCATTTCAAAAGTAAAGTTACATCAGAAACAAAAAAGGAATGTACAGCAGGGCTTGCATGCGTGAGGCATCTAAAATGGAAGATTTTTAGTGCAAGTGATATCTATGGTTAGAACAATTCTTTTAATCAAAATGGGAAACGGCTGCATACTGGGCTTAGTTGGAACAACCAGAAAGAACATAGAAACCCAGACAGCTGTCAATATTTCTGTGGGTTCCCGAACAGTGTCATAGGCCTACGCTCCTCAATGGGTAAAAAATACAATACCACAGGAAAGAACCATTTGATGGAAATTAACATATGGTGGTGTGTATTCAAAATTTTAAAAATACTTCCTCTGATCCTTTTCATAAGGCACATTCTAGAAGCATTTAATTGTCATTTTTATAA